TCACCAAAACTATGGGAGGCGAGATCAGACCTTGTGCTGTTTTGAATGTTTTGGAATATTTCTTTATTTTGTTGGAGAAGTTGCTGCATTTCAACTCAGAGTCCTGGCTGGGGGAATTTCTAAACTGGTACATGTGTGCATGTTCACACACTGCAGTTCATAGCTCTGGTGTTGGAAAAGGCAGAAACAAAGAGTGTTTCTCTATACCCGTTGGCAGGAGCACCCCAAAATCAAAAGTCCTGTCTGGAGGCAAAGCAACTGCATGCTCTGAGAAAAAAACAACCAGCATTAAAAAAAAAAGAAAGTCTGGACTTCTCTGGACACCCAGGCTATGTTCACTGTAACACGTTTCAACCCTAATTCCCGTGTTTATCTTTATATGCAGCATAGTCAGTAGCAAACATCCCACATACAAAGGCATGACCATTTTTTACATGCTTTACCTGCTTCGCAATTGCAACCTGGGTTTCTTACCTTTTGCTATTAGACTCTGATGCTTCTAAACTGTTATGCAAAATGCCTAAAGATCAGTCTCTGGTTAACTTAAACCACAATTAAATTTTGTCTACCATCACAGGATAATTATAAGATCAGCGTGACACACAGAGAAGTATAACTTCACAGACGAACAGAGAGGAGAAATATGCTGTGAAGAAGAAAGCTGTTCACATTAAAAGAATAAGAATAAGAAGTCAGAACTCATCAAGTTATTGGCAAAACAGATTGCTTTTATACATGTCCCTTTCCCCAGCTTTCCATCCACACAAGAGTCTTCTCTTTAATGTTGAAACTCAAAAGATCAGTAAGGTCTAGTAAAGAGTATGGTATGAGCTCACAGCATAGAGTAGCAATTGTTTTCTCATAAAAGAGCAGAATTCATTAATCAGAATTAGTCCAGACACTAAGAAGACATTTGTCCCTGCCCTGTTGTGGCATAATGAGAATTGCCATACTGCACAAATACTTGTTTAGCATCTGAACAACTGTTGTTTAAAGTGGAGACATGAGGCTACTTTTAGGTCATTAAATAACATAACTGAGAAACAGAGTAGATGCCCTGTTGGGTTATTATGACCTGTTTTGTGTGATGTAATACATACAGATATCCAAACAGAACAAAGAGTAGTATTGAGCAAAATGTGCTTTCAGCCATGTGGTGGAGTAAGTCATATTTGTTGTCCCTGAGTATTCACAGGCTTTACAGTATTTGGAATCAAGCATCCTATATAATAACAACACAATCTCTGCAGCCAAGTCTATCAGGCTCAACTAGTGCTGGTCTTATAATACAGGATGAATCAACACATGCACCTGTGTAATGGGAGGTATGGTTTAGGGATGATGCTCCTTGTTTGTTGTGTGGGTGTCTATTTTTGTCAGTTAGGTTGACGGTTGGACAAGATGATCTTTAAGGTTCCTTCCAACCTAGAAGATTCTGTAATTCTGTGATTCTGTGATTCTGTAATATTTGTTCTCTGCACTTAGTGATAATGCACTGCAGCAGCAATTTGAAGAAAAAAATAAATTGAATAGAAATGCAAAAATGAACTGCCATAATTGGCTTAAAGCAATTTGAAAGTAAGAAAAAATTATGAAATTCATACATTTAAATTATTAAATACACTATTTTTTATTTTTTAGAAGTTCTATATTTCCGAAGGCAATGGTCTGAGACACTGAATCAGACGAGAGCTTAAAAAAGTTATGGGGACATGGTTTAGCTATTGCAGTAAAATTACTGTTACAGACAGAGAGACTAGAGATTCCTGGCTCAGATACCAGCATGTGAAAATATGGATTCAACCCCACCAGAAACAGTAAGAGAAAATTCCTTTTTTTCCATCCACATCTGTAGACTTACACAGGACTTAATATGACCCAAAATCTCTTCCCTAGAAAGGAAGGGTGTGACAGTCATGTAATCTCCCTGCTAATATGACCCAAAATCTCTTCCCTAGAAAGAAAGGGTGTGACAGCATGTAATCCCCCTGTCTGAGGATCTGCACATGCACAGTGCCTTAGCTGTGAGAAATAACAAGGAACTAAACCAATCTTGCTTTTTTTCAGACGTTGTCTCATGAGAGTAGAACCTGACTTTCACTTTCAATGACCTCCAACGCAAGTCATATTGTGACTCTTCTTTTTCTCTATGTAGGTCTTGCCTGAATTTCAATTACATTTCACATAAATTTTACATTAGGATAGCAGCAGTTCTTTTGAAATAATAATAGAAGAAAGTCTTAATGATGGTATTTCAACAGCAATGATGAGAGCCAAAAAAAAAAAAAAACCACCCGTAAAAAAATCCCCACTAACATTGCTTGCTAAATATGTGCATGAATGAGCATGAATGACTTGCTTCTGGACTTGGTGAATCGGACTGCAATATTCACAACTCCATCAACTCATCAAGCCCATCATTGATTAGAAAAGTCTAGGACACATTATTCCAAATTGTACTTTTTCCAAAAAAAAAAACCACCCGTAAAAAAATCCCCACTAACATTGCTTGCTAAATATGTGCATGAATGAGCATGAATGACTTGCTTCTGGACTTGGTGAATCGGACTGCAATATTCACAACTCCATCAACTCATCAAGCCCATCATTGGTTAGAAAAGTCTAGGACACATTATTCCAATTTGTACTTTTTAGAGAGAGAGAGTTGTATTTCTACTTATCACGGAGAAGACAACAGAAATTTAACTTTAAATGAGAAATGAAATATCCACTCAACAAGAAGAAAGGCAGATTTCCTAAATTGCCCAGCACAGGGTATCAGGCTAATGACATAGTCACAAAATCAGTTTTAGTACTCTCAAGCTTCTGTATTTCCAGAAACACACCATTGCCAAGAACTGCAAATAAACTGCAAATAAACTGCAGGCAGACAATCTGGTAGCGCTGTGGCCAGAAATCAGACGGGATGAGAGCTGGACTCTTTCTTACTGGAGAGTTGCAAGTGCAAAATTTGGACAGGCACAAGGACACCTTGCTGGAATTTGATTTCCTTATGAATGCCACTTGGCTTTATCTTCCTTCTGACCGGATGGGTTTTTTGAACCACAGAATGTTATTCCATGAAGGAAGGCAGATGAAGTGATAGTATCAGCAGGAGAAGATAAGGTATTGTCCTAGGGACTAATTGCACAGCTTGACTTTCTCATTTGTTAGAATAGATGAAAATTTCTCACAAAGGGGAACACAGGCTTAAAATTGCTAGCAGATTTTTCTACCTTATATTTGAATAATAACGTAAAGTGGAGATAATCATGATCTAATTGTAGACAATTTGTTAGACAAAAAAAATTAGTTGAACAAATTGTTCTTTCTAGTATATAAGTAAAAGTTAAAATACACACACACCAGGGAAGATTATTCCTGAGGTATTTATGACCACAGGAAACCTGATAAGTGCTAAAAATAAAATGGAAAAACAATGACTTATAAAATCTCTTCTTTTAAATATGCAATTACATGAAATGTGGTCCTTAAGAAACTTGGTCTAAGATTGAAGTTTGCCCTGCTTTGAGCAGGGGGTTGGACAGGTGATCTCCATGTTGGTCCTTCCAACCTAAATAGTCCTTGGATGCTACCAAATGCCCACAATTAATAAGGTTAGAATCATAGAATTGTATATGTTGGAAAGGAACTTTAAGATCATCAAGTTCAACTGTTAATCTAACACTGCCAAAACTAAACCATGTCCCTAAGCACCACATCTACCCGTCTTTTAAATGCCTCTAGTGATGATGATTCTACCACTTTCCTGGGCCGCTTGTTTCATTGTTTGGTAACCCTTTCAGTGAAGAAATTCTAATATCCAATCTAAGCCTCCTTTTGTGCAACTTGAGGCAATTTCCTCTTGTCCCATCACTTGTTATTTGGAAGAAGAGATTGGCCCCCACCTCACTACATCCTCCTTTCAGGTAGTTGTAGAGAGCGATAAGGTCTCCCCTCAGTGCCCTTTTCTCCAGGCTGAACAACCCCAGTTCCCTCAGCTGCTCCTCACAAGACTTGTTCTCCAGACCCCTCACCAGCTTCGTTGCCCTTCTCTGGACTCAGTCCAACACCTCAATTTTTTACCACTTTTTTGTGCTAAGGGACCCAAAACTGGACACGGCACTCAAGGTGGGTCCTCACCAGTGCTGAGTATAGGGTGACGATCACTTCCCTAGTCCTGCTCACCACAATGTTCTTGATACAGGCCAGAAAGCTGTTGGCCACCTTGGCCAACTGGGCACACTATTGTCTGTGGCTCAGACTACTTCAAACCTAAAAAAACATTTCAGGTCTAACAGCAGAGATGGGCTTAGACTCTAGTGGAAAGGGCTAAAGTCCTCAGTTTACCCTCATCCTCAGGTTGTCCCAGCAGGCCCCAGCTGCCTTGTCCTCACTTTCCACATAACCCTGTAACAGCACGTGGTTTTCACTTGCTCCTATTTATTCGCAAGCACCAAGTGGGAAGCCCCTGAACAGTCTAATGTAACAGGATCCTGTGTGACAAATTAAGGCAGTCAGAATGAGGGCACGACGGGGAGCGTGTCCTCCCTCTTCCTCTTTTCCCTCCGACTCAAATGCACCCTCGTGAACATGACAACACACTTCCATCTGCTGAGGGAGCTGGTCTCCTCTCCTGCCACCCTCCCTCTGCATACAGATGTGCTTGCACGTGGACTGCACGCTCCAGAAGGCAGATGCTGCTGGATTTTAATCCCTCTGAATTCTCTGATGGATTAATCCTCAAATCTCTGACTGTCCTTCTTAATGCTGCAGTAAGTAGCACACACATTGGTTACACTGATTTACAGCTGAAATAAAACCGAAAGAGAGTCAAAATGAAACGCCTGAAAATCAATCTATGCTTCAAGAGGATGGGACACTGAAGTGTTCTGGATTATTTTCTCCCACCAGCCTTGATCCTGCCCGGTGCCTGATGAGGCAAAAATCACTGGTGGCAGCAATAAAAGTTGCGGGTACCTGTATTACCCTCCACCTACCTGTAACCCTTCAATGGCCAGTTTGAGGATAGATGGCGTAAGCTTGGAGGCTTGCTTGAAGGAGAAATTGCTCCAATCTATAATTAGAATGAAGCCATTTATCTGAAGCTCCTGGTCTTCGATGAGCACTTCCAATGACAGTAGGATAGCCCGGAGGATATCTATGAAGGAGTTCCTAAAGCCAAAGCAGAAAAAAAAAAAAAAAAAAAAAAAGAGAAAATCAATGCTTGCAGTTATCTTTAAACCTCAAGATATTCAGCTTTGCTGTGGATGGGCCGTGAGCAAGGGACAGGGATTTATTCTGGTAGAATTCTTCTGAAAAGAGAGTTAATTCAGAGGTGTCACTAAAGCGCTCCTGCTCCAAAACTCACATTCCTCTGCTTGATGTGATAAGTCCTGCTCGCTGGTGGATAAAATAAACCCTGAATTAAATCTTTTTTGATTCTTCTGGCTTCCTTACAATAGATTTTAGCTAAGCTACTTTGGGAAAATATTTCTCTGTGGTGAAATGAAACGGATTCAGGCTATCAGTTTAAATCCCTGCTCCTTTGGATATACATTACCAGGTTTTTTGTTTGTGTTTTTTTTCTCCTTCTTTTCTATCTATTATAAAGAGGAAAATCAGAAAAGAAAACAAGCCGGTACAATATTAATATAAATGGTATGGTTACAACTAGGCTCCATGGCCTCCTGATTGAGTGGAGGGAATGATCCGAGGCTTAGCACAATAATGTTTGACTGTTCCTTTGTTTCTGCGAACCAAATGCAACATGGAAAATAGCTGCATCCACTCAAAATGGGAACTCTTTATTAATTAGCAGCTAACAATTGGCTGGCTGCAAGGCTTCCCTCAGCTCTGGGAGAATAATTAGAAACCTTGGAGGCCCTGAAGGAGATAGCAAGCGACAGACAAGAAAATGTTTAAATGTTTTCTTTAATGTGAAAGTCTGTACTGAGAAGCCTGGGCTGCTCTCTACTTCCATCTCATGCATTTTACAAAGGCAAGTTGGACACTTTAATGACTTATTCCATATTTACACCTGAGTAAGCTGAATCAGGACCTCTCGTCACCTGCCCTTTCCCTTAAGATGATTTGCAAACAACAGATTCAACAAGCAAGGAAAGCTTCAGAAAGTACAGCTTAACCTTCTGTAAAATGAAATTGTAACATACTGCTATTGCAGTCTGCTTTTCCCCTGCATAATTCCCAAATCTGGATGAGGCCTGACGTCTATTATAGGGAAGGCTCTCACCATGTTCTCCCACGGAGATTTTCATTTAATCCTTTTCTGCTGTTTTCTTTAATTTAAAACAAGTCATCTAAGCCTGCAAGAGCCGTTGTTTCAAATTCTGTCTGAGAGAAAAAAGCCTACGTGCAGTCAAAACAAACTTCTGTACCGTCAAGATCTCTACCCCGAATGGCAGCAACACATGAAAAATTTCTATTAGAAGTAAATGCTGACGTGTTTTCTTATTCTTATTCTTTCTCTTTTCTTTCAGAAGGTTTCAATTTGAAATGTACATTCATAGAATCATAGCATCATAGAATGGTTAGAGTTGGAAGGGACCTTAAAGAACATCAAGTTCCAACCCCCCTGCCATGGGCAGGGACTCCTCCCACCAGACCAGGTTGCTCCAAGCCCCATCCAGCCTGGCCTTGAACCCCTCCAGGGATGGGGCAGCCACAGCTCCTCTGGGCAACCTTTGCCAGTGTCTCACCACCCTCACAGCAAATAATTTCTTTCTAGTATCTCATCTAAATCTCCCCTCTTTCAGTTTAAAACCATCACCCCTTGTCCTGTCACTATACTTCCTGACAAAGAGTCCCTCTCCAGCTCTCCTGTAGGATCCCTTCAGATATTGGAAGGATTCTTTCTGTAAAGACAAGGTCCCTCAAAAAAGCTGTTTCTGAACTGTGGGTCCCTGCCTAAGCTGAAGCTCCTCTGAAGTACAATTGCTGAGGCAACTCACAATACATAGAGCATAAAGGTTTAACTTTGTTGCTGCTGAGAATCAGACCACCCCTCGCGCTTAGGCAGCAACTGGACAACCTTGACCTTTTTTAAATCACATGGGAAAGCTGAGCTGAACAGATTTATGGAAGGAGTACTTTACTTTCCTTAGCAACGTAAGGTGAAGGCATACTGTTTGGATTGGCAACTGACATTTATTTTCAGTCTAAATTTACTTCAAAAAAACTTAATATGAATATACTTCCCACTGGCAAGTGGAAACAGGTGAGGACTTTCACACAGCAGCATTAAATTACTGCATTTCCAGTGATGAAAAGGGGAATTGCACCCCTAGACCATATATACTTAATATACCCTACATTACCCCAGCATCCCCATTCAAGGGGGTCAGCCTTCCACAAGAACTGCCCCATGGAAGGTCCCAGAATCACAGAATCACAGAATCTTATGGGGTTGGAAGGGACCTCTGGAGATCATCTAGTCCAAGACCTCTGCCAAAGAGATGTGCAGTGTCTCCTCACACACATCAGCCTTCTCCACTCTCTTGCTCCTGTCAACACAGAATGTTATCATCATTTATGGGTGGTCTTTCTGGCTAGAATGGGGAAGACGAACTAATCTAGAGCTTGATATAACCCCACATTTGCAAATCTTAAAGTGAACTGGAAACTTGTTATTAATAAGGATGTGAAAATAGGGCCAGATTGAGATCAGAAAAGGTTTCCTCCTTTATTTTTGGGAAGAAGTTTTCTTAATAGAAAACGCAAACTCATATTCATAATCCTGCTATCTCTGATGCTTTTAAAAGCTGTGCAATGATTTCAGCAGGGCTGTATGGAAAGGGTGCATACAAGGCATCTTCTGTGATCCACTTAAACTCTAAATCACAGCGAAATGTTTCATTTGATTGAGCAAAGTCTTCCTCACAGACTATCCTTGGGAATTCTAATCTTTGTTTAGGTGTCTACATAAACTACCATGTTACCAAGCAATTACTTGCCTGTACTTCCCTGTACTTCCCTGTACTTTCAGTAGAAATTATTTGCCTGGGAGAGATGGCACCCAGTTTTCTTCGCGTGTAAGGAATCCAGCTGTCCCCTGCGCAGATCCCTCCCCCACTATGTGTTTGCAGTTTTAAGACATGGTGTAAGAAATAACTCAAAGTGAACACAAAGATGTTTTTCAGATGAGTACAAGGAGACATGAAAGCAGCACACAAGTCCTCCAGGTGGGCTGTTTGCCGGCAAGTTGTTTTGTGAATTGCAGGGTCTGGATAGAAATCAGACAGAGTGCCACTTGAGGCTGAAGCCCTCTGCTCCCTAATCTTGAGGCTTTGAGACAAATCATTCAGCTGTGTGACTGATTTGCATCCAAATCATTTTCTATGCATGAACACAGAACCACTTTTTATTAGTCCATCTCTTTTGTTCCTTTGCTTAATGTTCTCTTCCCTCCTCCAACCCCCTCCCCATCAGTTTAACCCTCTCACACACACACACAAAAAAAAAGTGAAATAAATTACTATTACACAAAGGGAAATGTGTAAGGTGCTGTAAGGATTCAGCATGGAGCCTGCTGAAGTGAGCCACTAATGAGTTACAAAAGATTTGTACAAGCCCCAGAAAGACAAAAAGGAGGAGGGAGGGAGAGTGCCTATCTGCCTTGGCTGAATGGAAAGGTACCACAAAAGAGGCTCTTCAAATATCCTTTGGAAAATGGGAAGTTAGCCCAACAGAAGCTAGTGGTAAGGAACAATAATGTAAAACAAAAATGAAGATGGTTTTAGCTGAGGGATTTGGTGGAGAGATTAGCCAAAGGCATAACATGAAAATAAATAAGAAGAAATTACTTAATTATAAGAGGCGTAAGCAGGCTGTGAGAGAATCAAAAGGCTCAGTGGAGTACGAGGGTGCAATGGGAACAATTACAGGGGATAAAGACATTGAAGGAAATTAAATGATCTATTTGCATGTCTCTACCACCAGTCATTTTGAATAGATACATGGATAATAACGCTGAGGGGCTGTTGGAAAATAAGGGGTCAAATGAGACACGCTGCAAGGAAGTGACACATTCTGGAGAAGAAAGCATCGGTAAAGGCTATTGACATTGCTGTCTCTGAGCAGTTAAGCTATAGGCTGTCTTTTGGGGATGCTAGTGAAATTACTTGGGATTACTCAAATGGTTAAAAGTACGAAGGTACAGAAGTACTGACAGCTGAAGCCATTAAGGTTGTCTGGTAGTAAGCGAAAACAAACTGTCACTAAAACCCCTGACTGTCCCACAAGACAGCAGGCTAACAAAGTGTGGACCAGTGTCCTTATCTTGGCAGTTGCAGACAACTCAGTTTAACACCCCTAAATTAGTATGCGGTAAGAGACTCTCTCCTGTAATACTTAAAAGGTGACTTAGTTCCATGCAAATGCAGATAAAAGGGGTTTCCTTACTTGTAAAAAAAAACCGTCTTGGGATACCAAATCAATTAATTTATCACCTCTTAAATGCAACAAATCAGTGAGACTACACCTTCGTATTTAACATAAGCTAACAAAGGACTGAGCAATATAAAACTGGTTTCATTGATGCTGTTTGAACATCTAAGAAGACATTCATTGATGCTGTTTGAACATCTAAGAAGAGAAGACGGAATGGTACACCTCATGAAAAAGCTATGGCCAAAGCTGAATAGCACTTAAAAAGCTGCAAACATGGCATAGGAACAAATCAGGTAAGATACCACATCTCACATTGCTCCCTCCACACGCAGTGAATCACCCGCGGAGAGCAGAAATGCACATTTAGCTTCTAGTGGGGGAAGAGCTAGAGAGGAGGATTCCTATTTGGAGTAATGCACAAGAGAAGAAGAGGAAGCAGAAAGAAGAAGGACCAGAAAAATACGCTCAGGTTGCCCTAAATTGTTTGAGATAATCGAAGCTGAAGAAGCTGTAAGGAAAGGCTTAGAAAGGGAGGCATCAATAACAAGCAGATCGACGCTGGTGGAGGAGGGAGAATCCAGGCAGGAGCATTTTGAATTGCTCTCACACACAGACAAGGTAGGCTGTTCATGGAAAAGCCCTTGGAATCCAGTCCACATTGAGTTTTGAACCAGTGTTCATAAATCATATGAAGTCACTTATTTCAGCAGACTAAATTTTCCATTCTGCTCATGAAGCACCAATAAGAAAGCCCCAACTTCCTATAA